GGAAGAGAGAGAAGAAGACAGAGAGGAAGAGAGAGAGAGAAGGAGAGAGAAAAGAGAGAAAGAGAAATGGAGGAGGGAGGGGGAGAGAGGGGAGAGAGGGAGAGAGAGACAGAGAGACAGAGAGACAGAGAGACAGAGAGACAGAGAGTCAGAGAGATGCGTGCTAGTCTCTGGAGAGCAGGAAAGCATTAGTACCTCCCTCCACTCAGGAAACTCCCAGTGAAGTGATGGGAACCTTCCAACCCCACCCAGCCTGGCCTTGGGAATGAGGGAGGGAGTAAGGAAGTGACCTTCACACAGCAGGCCTCACCAATAATCGTATTCCAGGGGAAACCTGAATCTTGGGCTGGGCTGCCAGCTGGGGCCTCCCCCTGCTTGGAGTCTTCTGTGGAGGAGGCAGACCCCAGGTACAAAGTGTAGGAGCTGAGCAAGCCTTTGAGGAAGGTACCTCCCCTTGCTGGCCCCAGGCCCCTCCCCTCCCTTCCCTGGCCCCCAGGTACCTCCAGCATAAAAGGAGGGGCTCAGACCGTGCAGTCTCTGAGGTCTCACGATTCCAAGGCAGAAGCTCCCCACCAGAGGCAGTGGGTATGGCCATAATGGAGAAAGCACTGGGCCTGGAGTCAGAAAGCCCCAAGTTCAAATCCAACCTCAGACATTTACTAGCTGGGTGACCCTGGGCAAGTCACTAAATCTCTGCCTGCCTCAGTTTACTCAACTGGTAAATGAGGATCATACTGGCACTTATCTCCCAGGGTTGTGAGGAGCAAAGAACACTTACACAGTGCCTGGCACATAGTGGGTGCTTTACAAATGCTCATTCCCTTCCATTTCACTGGTTCCAGCAGCCTCAAGCCTTGCCCTGACACCCCCAAAGAAGTGGGTGGGCCCCCCTCCTAGGAGTGAGGTGTTGGCCATTTCTTGTGACTAAAGAGATAAATCATACCAAGGTCTGTGACACCCATGCCAGGTGATCAATAACCCAAAAGCTTCCTCCTTCTCCATCCTGCTCCTACAAGCCAGTCCCCAGACACAGAGCAATCCTTTCCCATGTTCAGAGGCAACATCTTAGCCTGCCCCACAACAAAGAATCCCACATGACTGGCTTTCTCCCTCTAAAGAATTCTCTGGTCCTTGGCTGGTACTTTTCCCAGCATGCTTTGCACACCTTCAGCCCATTAGGGAGAGCAACAGAGTACAGGGGAAAGGATGCTTGCCATTGAAAGCCTGGGGTCTGAACCTTGGCTCAGCTCCTCAATATTTCTGTGATCTTGGGCACAACCTCCCATACCTCAGTTTCCTCCTCTGTAAAATGAAGAGGCTGGAATGGAGAGAACTTTGATCCCAGGAGCCCTCTTGAACCCACAGACCCTAATCACAAGGAGTCACTCCAAGGAAATTCTCCCTCCTCTCTCCCCTCACTTAAGACACTCGTGAGCGATAACCCAGCAGAGAACCCTCCCTTCTATGAATTCACAGCCTCCCTTCAGAAGAATAATGTCTTCATTGCATCACAGAGCTGGCAGAGACTCTGCTGGCACCAAGCGCAGCGCTCTGCTCACTCCCGGACACTGCCTCCTTCACCTTTGTTGGAAGTCCATCCTCTGAGAGCAACGGAAAGAATACTAGCAGCCTGGGGGGACAAGGTGCTTGACCAGACTTCGAGGCAAGGGCAGAGGCCTTGGCCTGTTTTCTGTTCATTTCAACTCTCCAAACAAGGACTAGATGTCTACTGTGGAAGACGCCAAGACAAACCAGCACAATCTCTGCCCTCCAGCAGTTTACAATCCCACAGGGCGGCAGTCTCCAGAGCTGTGGCAGACCCAGGACCCCTCCCAAAGGGTGTGGGATTAACCAATCAGAGGGTGGGAGGATAAACCGCATCCTAGCCTCCAACATGGCCACACCCACCCTGGACCCACATCCCTTCCCCTCTCTGCTCCTCTCTCGGGGTTGTGTGAATTCCCACCTTCCTCTTCTAAAACAGTGATGACCCTAACTCCTACCTGTGCACCTAACCACAGGTGCTGCTGGGGAAAATCTGCCCCCACTCCTCCCCCTCCCCCATACCCCTTACAGAGCAGGCTCTGGGAGTTGCCAGTGGTCAGAGAGTAAGAGCCTAGCTCCTTCCCCACTTCATTTGGGGGGGGGGGGGGGCGGCAAAAGAGCAGATGTGGATAGTATGTGAGATCCCAGAGTTCACTGCCTTCCCCCAAAGCCTCCCATCTCTGCAGGGCTCCCTATTACTTCTAGGATCAAATATTGTCTCATCTTTTTCAACTATCTTTTTGTGCAAGTTTTATAATGTCCCTGCAAATAACTTATAAACAGGTAGGCATGCTCATATTAGCGGGCCATGCCCAAGAATCTTTGTAAGGAGTACGCTATCCACAGTTTGGAGACTTTTGCCATTGGGGGCCAATAAATCCACACTTAATGAGAGCATAGGTGATATGTACAGAAGGGAGGCCCCAGACATTGAGGGGAGAGGAAGGGGGTGGGGCGCTAAATCCGTGGAACTGGTTTGTCCCAGACGAGAAGGGGGCCGATTGAACTGCTAACCTGGGGGATTCTGTGAACGTTGAGACTTCTTAGAACAGGGCTAAGTGTATCCTGGCTAGCCATCTCCAAGCAGAAGGCCCTTCCTCTTCCAACGGCCTGGGCCATTACATGGGTTCCTCTCATCTAACTACCCATCCCCTTCCTCTCCAATCCGGAACACAGACCTTTGGGGATCTCTCTACCCAGCCACACACTCCTCCCTGATCCTAGAGGGGTCTCCAGATTTGGAAGGGAAGCCAGCCCTGGGTAGCAACTACAACAGCCTTCCCCCATCTCCACCCCCAGGACAGCAGGCTGCAAACTCTAGTTCTGAAGACAGAGCCATGCCCTGGGAGAAGTCAGAAAGAAGGGCCCATGATGTCCAAGGTGTGTGTGTGGGGGGGGGGGTGCAGTTAACAACCCAGTTCAGAATTTGGTAAAGAAGGACTTTAGCTTAAAGAAACTCCTCACCAAGGGGCCATGCCCCTTCCAAATACATAAAGTGGGATATTGTTTTGAAACCTATCCCACAAATGGGAGAAGGTCTAGATGGGGGCAGCTGGGAACCTCCCTGGGCTGCCGGAAGAGCTGACTCCTTTTCGGAATGGGCCCAAGAGCAGGGGCAGAGAAAGAGTCTAGAGGCCAGGCCTGCCTCACCTTCCTCGTGTTCTGAACCTCTCTGGAGTCTAGGGAATGGACTCCTTCTCAAAAGAAGGGTTTTTAATGCACGAAATAAAATAGAGAGGAGTCTTTTGCAGGACACCCACTATACTGAAATTCAGTTGTCAAAACAATCATTTTGAAACTGTGAGTTCCCAGACCCCTAGAGATCCATCCTGGGACCCCTTTGAACCTCAGGGTAAGTTTCTTACTAGGCTAGTGTTTCCAGGACAAGGCTGGGGGCTGGCTGTTTTCCAAGCTGAAGATTAGAACTCCTCCCCACAGAGGCGCCCCAAGGCTTCCACCACCGGGAGGTGCCAAATGCCCAAAGCCAACCTGCCCTCCTCCCTAAGGAACTGTCCTGGAACAGCCTTGCCCAGGACAGACTCATGGGCTCCTAATAACCGGAGACCGGGCCAGACCAGATCAAGACGGGAAGTAATGGTGTGAGGCATGGCCAGGGGGGGCTGGGGGTGAGAAAGAAAGGGGGGCAGGTTTGTTCCCTTCCCAGAGTCAGCTAACCCAGTTCCCACGTCTTCACTCGCAACTCGGCTCTCTTCGCTCTTTAGCCGCCTGGCCTGCAGAATCTGTCTCGCTCCTGGGGGCTTTGGGACGGTTAGTAGCAAGTTTGTTTAGGCCAGAATCTTTAACCTCTCTCCATGCGATTCCTCAAGGTGAACTGTGTTCTTCCTCCAAAAGAAAGCAAGCCCCCCACCTCAGGCGCGCGCGCACACACGCACACACACACACACACACACACGCGCGCACACACACACACACGCGCGCACACACACACACACACACACACACACACACACACACACACACACACACACACACACGGAGTATTCTCCATTTCATAGCGCTCTTCCCCTGCCCCCTGCCGAGGGGGGCTTCAAGCAGATTCCAGTCCCGTAAAACAAACAAACACGGAGGCTGCAGAAGCCGCAGCGGCAGCACAGCTGGACTGCTCAGCCCCAGGCTTCTCCACACTTTGTAACTTATGAGCCTAGGCTGGAAATCACCAGGGCGAGAGAAGGGAGGGAGGCTCCCGGGATAGAAGCGGCCCGGGGAGGGCCCAGGGAGGACCCACGGAGGGCAGACAGCGATCGAGAGAGGGAGAGAGCGAGGGGGGGCCTGGGAGAGGGGCGCGCCAACTTCTCGGATCTCGCCGTGCCCCTGGAGGCAGGCAGTTAGGGAAGAGAGGACCACTCTGCTCCTCTCTGGTCTGAGCGGGAGGGGGCTGGGGGGTGGGGGGCACGCATCGTCCGGGGGCAGCTGAGCAGGAGCCTAGGGGCTTGCCAGCAGCTCAGCTTGGGGCTCGCCAGCAGCTCTGGCATGGCTGTGTGTGCGGGGGTCTGGGGCACGGCTCCCACCCGGTCTGCGACTCTGGATCGCGGCTGCGAGTGTCTCCGAGGTTCTAGCCTAGCTTCGCCGCCCTGCTGCCCCTCCGCCCCTCTGGCCCGTCCGGCTGGTGAGGTGCGCGCTTGCCCCCCCCCGGCCCCCCCCCCCGAGTGCTTCCAAGTACCCATCCCAGTCTTAGTCCGGAAGCAGGCACGGATGTTCTGTGCCCGGTGTACATGTGGGCACGCTCGCCCGCCGAGCCTGCGGTTTCCCAGGGCTAGAGGGAGGCCGACGGGTCGGCGGGGGGCTAGAGGTGTCCCCGGGCCGAGTCTGCGCGCTGCCCCCTCGGTCCGCCCTGCGCCCGCGCCCTCGCCCTCTGCCTGCCCTGTGCCCGCACCCACTGCCCGCCTGCCCATCAGCCCGGGCCGGCCCATCCGAAGCCGGGCGCCGCCGCTTACCTTAGACACGAGGAGCGGCTCGCCGTGCTCGAGCCCCCCCTTGAGAGTGAAGCCCCAGGGCGCGCCCCCCTGCAGCTGCACATGGGCGTACTGGCAGGCCCCCGGCCGGGGCTCCATCCTGGCCCCCGGCCCCTCGCTGCCCTCGCCGCTGCCCCCGTGCTCCATGGAGGCCGCTAGCCGCTCCTCCGAAGCGCCGCCACCATCGCGCCCTGCCCAGCCTGGGCGGGCTGGCCGCGCTACGCTCCCGCTGCCCCCGCGCCTCGGGCCGCAGCCGCAGCAGCAGCGCCGCCCGGCGCAGCGCAGGCAGAGCAATCGAGGCTAGCCGAGCTGGGGGGGAGGAGGAGGAGGAGGAGGAGGAGGAGGAGGAGGGGGAGGAGGCGACGGTGGCTGCAGCACCAGCGGGACAGGACGGGACGGGGCGGGGCGGGGCAAGGGGGCGGGGCAGGGCCCGGGCTGCCTCCAGAGGGAGGGAGGGGAGCTCAAAAAAGGCCCGAGCTGCCGGCCCGGGAATGGAAAAAAAAAAAAAAAAAAAAAAAAAAGAGCCGGGAGGGCGGGGAAAAGCGTCTAATGGACAAGGCGGCAGAGCAATGGGAGGGGGCGGCCGCCCGGGCCCCGCCTCCCCCTGCTTGGCTTCGCAGCAGTGGCTACATTGTTTCCTTCTGCCGAGGGGGGCCCCCTCCCCCCCTTTTTCTCCGGTCAGTCTGCCCGCGCTCCCAAGGGGAGCCAGTTCCTGGCCTCCCCTCCAGCTGCTCCGCGGGGGTTCAAAGTTGGCGGTCCCGGGCTGGGAAAGTGTGCGGGCCGCTCGTTCCCGCGCGGGGAGTCCCGGGCGCCCACCTCGTTTCTCCGCCCCAGACTTTCGAGGCGGGAAGGCGGAGGAGGTTGGGGGGGTGGGGCAGGGGAGCCGGCCCAGGGTGGGCACACTCCTCTCCCTGCAGACCCTACCCTCGCCGCACAGGCGACTGGCAATTCAAGGATTGAGTTAACCCAAGCGGGGAAACTGAGGTTCAAAGAGTTCATGGAGTTGGGTCAAGCGCTCGTGTTTACTACTCTCCCCCCCTCCCCCCCATTCGACTGAGGAAACTGAGGCCAGCGGGCTTAAGTAACTTGCCCAGGCTCACACAAGGAGGAAGCAGCTGTAGCAGGATTAGAACTCAGGTCGTCTGGCTCCAGTGCTTACACTCTTTGACAACCCCAGAGACAAGAAGAGACCCCTTCCCGGACGCTCGTGTGTTTCGTTGAAAGGGAAGTCTTATAAGACTCCCCGTTGACCCTATTTCACCCAAAAAAAAAAAAAAATCAGGAACGGGAAGTGAAGGCAGTGGAGGCAGGGCTCGGCCCCAGGTCAGTGTGGGCCCTGCGGCAGGGAACACTCAGAGCTCTCACAAGCTAGGCAATCCGAGGCCCGGGCCCAAGTTAACCTGAGCTACAAGCCTGGGCCCCTTTCCCAATCATTTAAGACAGACATTTAGGAGGCCCACTGCAGCTTTCTGAAGTGACTTGTCTCCGGCATTGGGTTTGTTGGAAGCCCTAGGTTCAAATCCAGGTCTGGAACCTACTCCCTGTGCACTATTGGGCCTCTTCTGTAAAAAGGAAGAGGCTGGACCAGGGCCGAGATCCGGCACGTTTTCTGCAGCTTTTTTCAGAAGGAAATGCCAAATTTCAGTTAAAGGACAGCAACGCGAACAAGGCTGCTGCTTTTGATGCTATCCCAGGTCCAGGGAGCTCCGTGAGCCCGGGTGAGAGTCCCCGGGGGGCGGGTTCCCCCCCCACCCACGCCCCAATCTCGAGATCTCTGCTCCAGGACAGTGTGTGAGGCGGCCAACCACCGCTGGGGAACGCTTTGCTTAAGCGCGTGTCTCCGCGGGCTGCTGGAGGCGGCTGCTGCGTGCCAGGGAGCCTGCAATCAGTTTCCTGTCCGAGGCTTTGCCTCCTTCTCCTTCCCCTCCTACAGGTGTTAGGGCCCTGTTACAGATGGGGAGAGCAAGGCACAGGGAATCGAGGTGACTTGCTCGAGGGCGCACAGCCCCCACGGCTGGGATGGGGACCCAGGTCTTCCTAACTCCAGCTCCGGCCCTGGATTGTCAGCATCCCGGAGGCAATAGTTCACGTCAGGACGGGAAGCGTTCCAGAGAGCGGAGCCGAGACGAAGGTGGGCAGGGGAAGGCGAGAGAGCTTGTCTCGAAACATGGCCACCGTGTGCAGGTGGTGAGCTTTTTTGCTGGCCAAAATACAACACTAAATCAAAGGGGCTTTGTTCTCCACAAATATGCATAATCAAAGCAAAACTGGCGAGGGCGACCTCTACATCACACACCTAACTAGCTGTGTGACCCTGGGCAATTCACTGAACTCTTCTGTGCCTCAGTTTCCTCATCTATAAAATGGTGAGGCTAGACTCCAAGGCTTTTAAGGTTCCTTCCAGTTTTTTATATATATATTATCCTAGGAGAGGTGCCCAGGTGGGTGGAAAGCAATATTTAACCTTCAGTTAGATGGCTGATTTGGACTGAGGACCTGTGACCTCCATGCCCGAAAGCCTAAGGAGGTGGTGCTGCAGCATCGGAGGCGGGAGTTACTCTCTGCACGTGCACTCGATGGCCCCACCCCCGCACGCATGCCCCTGGGGTGGGATCCCTCTATGTCTGGTCTTCCTTTTGAGGGTGTGTGTGTTTGTGGGAAAGTGTGCTCCCCAAAGGAGCAGTGTTCACTTGGGACTGCTCCCCTCATTCCGATCTAAGGCTCCATCCAGCTTCCAAAGTGATGTTCCTAAAAAGCAAGGAGGCCTGCCTCTGTGTGTGTGTGTGTGTGTGTTTCTCTGTCTCTCTTTCTCACACACACACACACACACACACACACACACACACTCTGTCTCTCTCAATGCCAGTGTCTTCCCACTTCCTCTAGCATGAAAAATAACCTTCTCTGTTTGGTATTTAAAGCCATTCCCAACCCAGAGCCTTCGTGGCTCTCCAGTCTTCTCACACATTACACTGGTTTGTGTTGTTGTTGGCCCAGCTGGCCTGCTTGCCTTAACACTTCCTACTTGCTCCATCTCCCATCTCCACATCTCTGAATCGACAATCCTCCGTTCCCGGAATGCTCTCCCTCCTCACCTCTCAGAATCTCAGGCTTCCTTAAAGATAGCTCAAAAGACACCTTCTGCAGAAGACACTTTCTGTTAATCCCTCAGCTGCTAACAATCTCACCTCGAAGGCAACTCCCCTCCTATTTGGTGTGTATCTTGTATGTATCTACTTATGTATGTGTTGTTTCTCAATCAATAAACATTTCTTAAGTGCCTACTATGTGCCAGACACTGTATCTCTCCCGTTGGAATGGAAGCTCTTTGACAGTTGGGGTTGTTTTTGCTTTTCCCCTACATAGTAGGCACTTGGTTGATTCCTATGCAGTAAACTTGTTATTTAACGACAAGTTTAACAATCATAGTAACTTGTTGTTAACTCTGATATTTGATTAATTTTTTTTTCTTTTGCGCTAATTGTACTCTGTGGTTGACTAGAGAAAAAGTAAACACACCAGTGGGGGCTTGGAGGCTGTGGAATTCTTTTGTTTGTTTATTTGGGGAGGGGTTAGTAGATGCTAACCAGCAGAGTACCTTGAACCTGGCATTGCCATTTTGGAGACCCTACATGTGAAAGGGGGTGTTCTCAGGGCTAAATCCACTAAAATAAGGAACATTCATCCTGTTGCCTCTGGATGCTCGTGTATGTAACTATCTACCATTTGGCTGTCTGGGGCCCAAGCCTGGATTTCCCCACTTCAGTACTAGAACCAACTTACAAACTTCCTGACTGGCAACATTGTTTGCCCTTGTAAACAAACCCACATGGTACAGTATCTCTTGTGAAGGCCAGCAATGAACAAGCTGGTCACTTTAGAGAAAGTTGGGGCATGGTCTGTGCTGACTTCTCGTCCATAAGCGCCCCGGGCTTTGGGACCCAATGGATCTATGCTCATCAGTGCTCTGCCCTCAGATGGGTTGGGTTAGTGTTTTCTATTTCTCAGGTTTTACCTGGATAAATCTCCCTTCCACATAGAAATTTACAAGCCAAGTCAACAAGCATTTAGTAAGCACCTATGTGCAAGGCAACATAACTCAGTGGATCAAAAACTGCCCTTGCAGCCAGGAAGCTCCTGGTTCAAGTGCTACCTCCAACACATATTGATTGACCAGTGACCCCGGAAAAGTCCTTTAACCTCTCAGTGACTCAGGGAACCCTCTTCAGACTTGTAGAATAGGTCCTGACTGGCATGGATAGAGGGAGTTCCCCCCACAGAAGAATTCATAAGTCTAGACCAAATAAAAGGCATTTACTAAGTTCTGACTATGTACCAAGTCCTGTGCTAAGCAAAGCGAAAAGGGCCTGTGGAGGGCAAAAGATGAAAAATGACTGAGGAAACAGAGGTTGGAGCTTCTGGGCATACCGATTCATCAAGCAACGCTGCCGACTGCCCGGCGAAGCGGGACCAGGCCTCCTCGGCCTAGTACTAGACCCCGAATACAGGGGGAGACAGCCTTTTATACAGTCAAACCAGTTCATCAAATAAGACCAATTAATTCAAAGGAAACAATGCGTTAGGTGATCTGATTTCTAACTGGAGGAAAGATTGGGCCCTTTCCAAGTTGGGAGGGGGGAGAGTGAACAGGTGAAGTTCCCTGAAATCAGAAAAAGAGATGTCCCCTCCCCCCAGGTGTCTGTATTCAATCAAAGAAATGGAAAGGCTGACCAATACAGGGCCAGATTTCAGATGAGACACACGGGCTGCTTGAGATGGACAATGGTGAGAAAACTCCTTGCATCGATCTTTGGGTCTGACCAGGCTTCTGATCAGCTTAACTGAGGTCCTTGGTTAAGGGTCTCTAAGCAGCAGCTAGGGGTGCTCCAGCTTCCCGGCCAGGCGGGGCCAGGTTCGAACAACGCAATAAGGTTTTCTCCCGATTCCCTCAAGTGAATAAAGTTTTCTCACAAGACAGAAGCTGGACTAGACCCGTAATGAACAGAAAGGGAACTGAGCTGGATTCAGAATGGAGTCACTAGATGGAGTCAGTGTGGTCCACTCAGCTCTCACAAGCTACCACTTGCTGTCCTAATCCCCCCAATTCCCTCGTT